TGTTTTTCTTGTTTTGAATTTCAAAAATTAAATCAAAACCATTTGATTTGAAAATTATTATATATGTGTTCCCTGTTTTCAAAAGTACTGAAACCGATAACTATATATGGCTATGCATATGCTTCTTGTTCCCCAATCATCCAAAATTTTAAATGTGTATGTGTTTTTGAATATCATCATTTTCAAAAAAAAAAAATGCATGAATTGTCTTTTCTAAACAAAACCAACAAAGACCCAGACTCTAGCACTTTGCCCCCGCCATACGTGTTCCATCAGTTGACAAAAAAAAAAAAATCTCATGTGACCGCTATTGAATGTGCTTACAAAACACATGTTTGGATTAGCTAACGCCCTTGGTTGTTTAGTAGGCTGTGGGGCCAATTATAACAAGACACGTTAGTTCAACATGTTCAAGCCATTCCCATGTGCAAGTCTTTCTAATGGAGACTGGGGAGTGTTTCAAACTTTTTACATTTATTTTTTTGCTTGTTGACTCTCGTGCCCTAACCCTCTCCCTTTTTCTCTTCCACCTCCATTCTCTACCCCCTCTCCATTGGTCAGCTTCAGTAGTCCTTGCTGGTAACCGTCACTTCCACCATCGTAGAGGGTGGAGGCAGGAGAGGAAGGAGAGGGTTGGAGCACAAGAGACAAAAAACATAAAAAAAAAAAGAAAACAAAACAAATGTGAATGGTTTGAAACACTCCGATCAATCTCCGTTATAGAGACTTGCACATGACCTCAACGTATTGAACTGACTTGTTTTGTTTTTTTGTTTTTTTTTTTTTGGTAATAAACAAGATTACTTCATTAAAATAGGCAAGACATTACAGGGCAGGTGATCTAAATTTCCAACAAAAACATATAGAACATCTAGTAACCAAATTGGGGGGGTGCCCACCCATTTGCCAGTGGGAGTGCCACTACTAGCAAGAGCATGGGCTACAGACTTAAAAGTTCTAGGACAAAAGAGTAGATAACTGAATCAAAAAGATTTAATTCCTGCTTTATGTCTTCCTTGATAAACCACAGCTCACGCGAACACGGAGTATAGGGGTGGCTTAAACTCTTCACCAACTGCTTGCAGTCACAAAAAACTTGTAGAGAAGTAAGATTGAGTGATCTAACTAGTCGAATACCTTCTAAAAGAGCATTAGCTTCTGCAAAAAGGGATGAGATCTATGGACTTGTTGAGGCCTTCGCTGCTAAGAAGTTTACAGAATAGTCAATAATAAGGCTACCAGAACCTGCACAATGCCCTATAACAAAGCTTTCATTTGTTCAATGAGAAGCCACACCACTGCAGCCTCTGGTGACGTCAGCTCTTTGAAATTTAAGACTTTGAGGCTTGGGAGGGTTCTCCGCTTTCTGTTGTGTTTCCAGGATTTTCTTCCATAGGCTGTTTATGAATTCAAGAGAATGGTGGATATCAGTTGGTATATTTTCAAAAACAAACTTGTTCCTACAAAGCCAAATGCCCAGCAAATTATGAAGAATTGAGAGCATAACAAGTTCTTCTCTTGTTTGCATATGCTCTGATTATCAATCTAGGAAAGGAACCAATTTTTTATAGTTATTGGATTATTTTCATCCATTTTGAGGTTCAGATTTGAGGAAAACCAGATTGACAGTACAGAAGGACATGTTCAATCGATTCAGAGCTTTCTTGGCACACAGGACAAGTAGATGAGAGTGCAGGAATTCTGTTAGCTAGTAATTCTTTAACTGGGAGGCCATTTGGAAGGGCCCTCCACACGGACTTAATTTTTGGCAACAACTTTAAACTCCATAAAAGCCTCCAAATACTATTTCCCCCAACCAAGTTATTGGGGTTCTCTTCTGAGTTAGGATCCATAGCTGAATTTGCGACCCAGTAGGCTGATCGAACAGAGAACTCTCCCTTTTTTGTAAAAGACCAACAAATTCTATCCTGATAGTCCTGGGAAGGATATAAATCTTGAGAATAGCTTCAGCTATGGGAGGGGGGAAAAGGTTTCGAATAATTCCTGGATTCCAATTCTTGGTATTTGGATCAATGAGATCTGCCACAACCTCCAAGTTGCAGTTATGAGGGCAGTTTAGGGGAATTTTGAAGCCTGTAATCGAGGGGATCCATGGGTCCAACCAGATCTTAATATTATTACCATTTCCTACCTTCCAATAGACTCCTTTTGTTAGAATTTTCTTACCCATGCATATATTCTTCCATCCTAATGAGCAACCTCTTCTTGCCTTTGCATTGAGGAAGCTCACTTCTAGGAAATATTTGGCTTTAAGGACACGGGTGAGTAAGGAGTTGGGGTTTGTTATAATTCTCCAAGCGGTTTTAGCTAGGAGGGCCTTGTTGAAGTTGTGAGGGTCTCTAAAACCCAATCCCCCAGCTCCTTTATTTTTACACATTATCTTCCACTAAATCCAATGAATCTTCCTCTCTTGATTATTACTTCCCACCAAAACATCCTTTGCAGTTTAGATATGGCCTTGAACACCGTTCTTGGTAAGAGGAAGCAAGACATTGAATAGATAGGAAGAGACGATGCTACTGATTTCAGGACCACTTCTTTGCTAGTTGGAGTGAGAATTTTTTCTTTCCACCCTTGAATCATATGCGAGACCCTTTCAATTATGAATTTTGAGGTAGCTGATCTAGATTTCTGGATTTCAGTTGGCAGGCCAAGGTAATTCCCAAGATTTTTGGTTAATCTCATTCCTAGCACCATGGCTAGAAGACGTTGGAACCTCTCCGGGGTGTTCTTACTGAAAAAACACTTATAATTTTTTATGGTTGACCTTCTGCCCAGCAACTCTCTCATAGAGCTCAAGGCTCTCCAAAATCTCCTTAGCTTCTTCTAACTTTGCTAGGGAAAAAACATAGCTATCATCTGTGAAGAGCAGATGGGTAATAGTCGGGGCATAGTGGTTCACTTTGATCCCAGTTATCTTCTTTTCTCTGAGCTTAGTGTTGAGACTGGCTGATAGTGCTTTTGAAATTAGGATGAAGAGGAACAGTGAGAGCGGGTCACCATGTCTCAAGCCTCTCGAAAGGGTTATCTTCTGACCAGGGGAGCCATTAACCAAAATTCTGTAGGTCGCTGTTCTAAACATTCTATAATCCAATTACTCCATATCTGTCTGAACCTCTTCTTTTCCATAATTTTTTCCAAAAAAGGCTACTCCACCCTATCATACGCCTTCTTCATGTCCAACTTTATGGCCAAGAACTTCTTACTTGATTTTGACTTCTTCATGGTATATATCAATTCATGTGTGAGAAGTACATTGTCTGATATTTGGTGTCCTGCAATGAAGGCTGATTGGTTGGGGCTAATGATCCTATTGAGTACAGATTTTAGCTTATTTGCTAGAATCTTTGCAATGATTTTGTAAGGGGTATTGCAAAGACTGATTGGTCTGTACTGTGAAAGGAATTATGGGTTCTCTATTTTTAGAATGAGAGTGATCAAGGTAGAGTTCAATTCTACATCAAGTTTCCCAATTCTAAAGAACTCTTTGACTGCTCCCACCATAGAATTGCCAACTATATTCTAGTATTTCTGAAAGAAGAAGTTAGGTAGCCCATCCGACCCCAGAGCCTATGAGGGAGCCATTTGGTTCAACGCTTCTATGATTTCTTCTTCCTCTACTTCCTTCTCAAGACTAATATTATCTTCTAGAGAGAGGTTGTTGCTTAAATTTTCAAGGACTACATCTATTTTTGAGCAACCCTCACTGGAGTACAAATTATTAAAAAAAGCGAACACCTTATCAGACATTTCTTCATTGTCCCTGACCCATCTTCTATTCTCATCATAAAAACCATGAATATAATTCCTTCTTCTTCTTTGAAGAGTAGTAGCATGGAAGAACTTGGTATTTTTGTCACCACTAGCTAACCAATTAACTCCAGATTTTTGTTTCCAGTGGATTTCCTCTATTAGCAAGGCCTTCTCTAAGTTTCTTTCTAGCTCATTTATTTTGTAGGGGTCATTTGCTATCCTTTTGTCTACTTGGCCCCTGATCAGCTCCTCCTTTGCTTTTTGGACATTGTTTTGGACATTCCCAAAGACTCTCTTGTTCCAATCTCTCATTGTGGGCCCAATGTTCTTCACGTTTCTAATTAAATTTTTCATGGGTGTCTCCACTATGTCCTCCTTCCACGAGTTTACTATAACATTTTTGCAATCCTCATGATGGTTCCAAATTTCCTCAAATCTAAAGGGTCTTGGTCTCCAATTTAGATTGTTACTAGTGTCCAAGAGGACAGGGGAGTGATCAGACCTGGCTCTTAGTAGGTGAGAGAGAACAACTTGCTCATGCAGAATCATCCATTTTGTATTTGCATAGGCTCTATCTAGCCTTTCTTCAATCAGTGAACCCCCTCTTATTCCTGCCCAAGTGTATCTCCGCCCTCTGTAACCCAAATCCTGGAGACCGCATTGGTCAATTACAGACTTCAAATGCATCAATCTGTAGTACTCAATGGGATTTCCACCTTTTTTGTCTTTGTTACTTGTTATGAAGTTCCAGTCCCCAATACAGGCCCATGGCTCGTTAATTGAGACTACCAATTGGGTGAGATCATTAAGGAAGATTTGTCTTCTTAAGAAGACAACCTCTGGGAGATTGGTGCGCACTAGATGTTGCAACATTCGAATTGTTTGGGGATCTCCCATCCCACGACAACTCCAAGCAAGGTTCTTCATTTGGTCCCATGGCGTTGTTCTGGGACAGCCGCCTGAACCCTTGAATCTTTTGAGATGGTTATGGTATAACATTCATCACAGGTTTCATTGTTAGGAAGACTCCAAAGTCTTCTAAACGGTACCTTCTGGGTAGCTGTGGGTGAAGTACTATCCTTTTCCTTGGATTTTGAGAATGGTTTAAGTCTACTCCTTTTCCTCTTCCCTCCTAGGAAGTTGAGAGTTGACAACAGGAAAGAAGGAAAGAAGTACTGTTTGAAAGTAGAGGGGTTTGTACCTGACTCATAGGGTTTGCTGGTTGGCTCTCTGTTCCTGGTTCATCCTCTCCCTGCTTTGGACTTTCTATTCTAGCTCTTTTTTGGTTATCTCTTGGGCTTGTCGCATTATCAGCTTCAAAGGTTAAAGCTCTCTTAGCTCGGGCCAACACTTTTGCTTTGGGCCTAGGATTAACCATTTTATCCTCTATCGGGGTAAGCCCATCAATATTCATTGGGCTTGGACTATTCTCCACAAATATTGGATTTGTTTGTTGGCTAACACCACTATCCACGTGTTCAGTAGATAACACTTCCTTTTTGTCGGTATTCTCATTTCGTTGGGTGATGACAAGCCCGTTTGGAATGAACTTAGTAGACTTGTCTACCTCGGACAATCTCAAGGAAACCTCATACTGGTGTAGTTGCTGAGAAGCCTTTCCATCTGCTGGGTTTGTCTTTTCTCTGATCATGACAGGCTTTTCCTGTAGAATACTTTTCCCTTTGTCCACAGAGCTCTTCATTTGTAGAGTCGAGTGACTGCCTGGTTGTGTAGAATTAGGTCGGCTTTCCTGGTTTTTAGCTGTAGGCCTAGGCTCATTCCTCAAGAATCTGTCCTTACACTCACCGTTGTGGCTTCCATGTTCTTGTACCACACCATTTCCGGCCGGCGAGTTCACCGGAGACGTTTCCATCGGAGAGGGCCAGCTCGATCATCTTGAAGTTTCTCCTCCCAGGCGACTGCCACTATTCCTTCCTTTGGATCTATTTCCTTGCCACCCTAATCGTTTGTCCACCAAGGAGAAATATATCTCGGTTTCTTCGGGGGGTTGTGGGTTGACTTGGAGCGAATAGACAGGGTCCATAGACACCCGGTCCCGGTTTTGAAGCTACTTCGAACCTAAATGGTTTACCTTTAGCTTTTGCCCTTTCTTCATTCTCAAACTTCTTGAGGCATCGCTGTTCTTCATGACCTAATTTGCCACAGTAGAAGCAGAGCGCCGTGAGTCTCTCATATCTGAAGTTGAACCAGTAAGATTGTCCTAATTTTGTGGTTCCCCTTGCTCCTATAGCTAGCGGTTTTGTGATGTGATGTCCACTTCGACCTGGATTCTCATAAATCTCCCCAATTGGTGTTTGTTCTCCCTATCCTCATCGAGAGGGGTTCSTGTAGCTTCTGCTAGGCGTCTCCCTGTTCTCTAATTTGCCACAGTAGAAGCAGAGCGCCGTGAGTCTCTCATATCTGAAGTTGAACCAGTAAGATTGTCCTAATTTTGTGGTTCCCCTTGCTCCTATAGCTAGCGGTTTTGTGATGTGATGTCCACTTCGACCTGGATTCTCATAAATCTCCCCAATTGGTGTTTGTTCTCCCTATCCTCATCGAGAGGGGTTCGTGTAGCTTCTGCTAGGCGTCTCCCTGTTCTAAAGTTCATACAGTTAATTGGGAGATCCAAGATGTGCATCCAGAAGTTGCATTTGTTGAAGTTTAGAAGGCTAACTGGGATATTCGGGCTCCATTCCTTTAGAACAAAGGGGAAGCCTTTGATGGACCACGGTCTCTCCTCCCAGATCGTCTTTTTATCAAGTCCATGTTTGAACTTGATGATCATTATTTCATTGGTAGGGTCATGGATGGTGAATCTTCTCATCGTGTTCCAAGAGGTGTAGATTGCTTCATTGATACTAGTAGCAACATTCACTGATTTGTGTGAGGAGAAAATCTATGATATGGAAAAGATATGGTATGGAAAGAGTTTTGACCAATCAAAACCCACCCATGAATTTTGATAAATGAACCCCTGTCTGAGATAAGTTTGCCTAGGAGGCAAAGCTTGCCTTCTTCTTTTCCTTCATCTTCTTCATCCAGCGGGACTTCGTGAGTTGGGATGTTTAGTTTTTCTTGAATCATACTCTCAATCTCTGAAATGTCAGAGCTGGGTTCACCTTCCTCCATAGGTAGCGATCACGATGGAAAAAACACCTACACTGCGGAGCAACCGGTTCAATCGGCGGAGAAACCTTCACGGCAGAGAGGTTCAAGAACGGTAACTGACTTATTTTGTTATAATTGGCCAACAGCAACTTGAACCCACAATGGCCTGATTAGAAGTCAGACGCCTTATCCATTAGGCCACCCACGGGCGCCCTTGTATCAGAGGTGAAATTTCAGAATAAAAGTCTTCTTGGTTTTCTCGACATGTAATGCCCTTTTCTCCAGTTGCCGTACTGCAACCAGTGAGTAACGAGAGTGAAATTTCCTCTCCGATTGCGATCGACACTGGAACTGGCTGCTGAGACCTATATTTCGACGTAGATCAGCTTCGTTACCCATCCTGCACATCTACCCCTCATCTCCTCGCTTGCGTCGGTCAACGCTTTCATGCTTCCTTTCATATTCGAGACTCCTCTTCGTCTTCGGGCTTCGTGCTCTCCTGGTCCTGGAACAAGGTTGCTTCTCTCTGTCTCTTTCTACTTGGTTGTGATACTGACATTGGATTCAAGACAAACTAATTGTAAATGCGAGTGTAATGTATTGCTTGTAAATGTGGTTGAAATGACCAACTACAAATTTGGGTTACCTGAAATTTCCGGCCTCAAGTCAAAATTAAAAGTTTTCCTGTCGAGCCAAATTAGCCAATTAACCTACTTGTATGTAGTAGTGATTGAATGTATGTTATTACAAGAGGTTCATCCAGGAGGGACCATGCACTGTTGGGAGGTGAATTTTCTCATCTTTCTCATCCCTTGTCATGCAAAATGCTAGTGCTTAGAGAGAAAAAAATATACTTCGGGATTTCTTTTTTCTTTGTTCTAAACTTCTAAATTTCAAATATATAGTTTTACCCAACAGGTTCCAACTTGCTACTTAGGCTAGTTTTGTGTGACAATAAATCATTTTTAATTTCCATTGCAGAGGATGGATGCAATGGAAACTTCTAGCTTGACCCAATACGGAGTCAGGATTGAAACGGCTGATGTATTGCTTTTAGTTCCCCCTACCCTAATGCTTAATGCTTTTAGATGACACAGATTGGTTTGGCCACCATCATTGCATCCTTACCACAATCTATTAGTACCTTCGTCTTAGCATAATCATTCGGTTAACCCATTCTCTCTTCTTCTTCTATGTCAGCTCACCTTCCTTATAGCTTATCCCCTCGTCTCTATTTGCTGCCCGTCCCAGGTCCAATAACCACTTGAACTTACCTTCCAGAATTGGCTCCTCCCCACCCAGTTAGATTAATCCCACAAGATTCCTCCAGTTGTACTCTAGATTGCTTCTTTGGTCCATAGGCGGAGAAGGACCTGGTCCAATCGAAGAAGGTCCCACCGTCATCTAACCAATTAAAGGCCACCAGTTGCTCATACTCATACTACTCTAATGATATTGGCCTCAACCTCCTTGATCCCAACCTTTCCCCTTTCCCCTTTCCCAATGATTCCACTGCTAGGGATGAATGATGAATCTTCCACAATTGTTGAACCTACCCTCTCCCATATAACATGCCAATTTGATGAAATTAGAATGTTCCCAAGGGCTTTTTGTTCAGACGCATTTTATCTAAAAATAGATACTTGTGAGATCCTTCAAAACAGAAGATCTACTTTATGTAAGATAAATTGTGGAAAATAATTTTCACTTATTAATCTTTTATTCAGACGCATTTATATATATATATATATATATATATTCTTATTACGACCGGGTGTTTAGGAATGTTCCCTTTTCGACATGTATTACGTTTGAATGACAACACGTGTCCCTTCCATTTGATTCTCCCCTTCTTTGTCTTATCCCTGTCTTCCCTCCCTTTCCATTCACCCATCTCAAGGAGAAGCTTGCTCGGCAAGCTTCGGAATCTAACGGGTAAGACCTCTTGCTTGATCCAACATAGGGCTTCCTTTCCCCATTTACCCTCAGTAAGCAATAAAATTCCATTCGCACWGTAAACCATGCATTCAAAGGATGAGTTGTAGTGCCTGATTGACGCTCATTGGATTGCTGCTCGATGTTACTTGATGCTGAGTGACCCTCACTGAAGGCTCGAGGTGACTTGATGATGAGGCTCGCTGGTCGAGGTGAATGGTGAGCTGATTGAAACGTTGGCTCCGATAAGCGATAATCTGGGCAGATAGAAGGGAGCAATAGGGATATGGCTTCGGTTGCCATTACATTCTTCCTCTCGCAACTCCTTAGAGAGAGAGAGACAGAGAGAGAGAGAGACAGAGGCGATGGATTCTCCTTGGGCAAGTGGAGAGGAAGAGATCTTAGGCGATTGGTTAGTTCAGGTGTATGAGAGAGGGAGAAAGACAGAAGCAATGGGTTCTCCTCGAAGCGACACACTTTTTTTTATCTATCGAGGAATTGTTGCATCTACTCTCGCTGTTCAACCAAGCTGGAATTTATTTTAATGATCGAACCAAAGGAAAGGATGTAAGCAATGAAGGATTTATAGCATCTTATAGTTCTTAAACAGCAGTTTGCATTCTTTGTTGATAAAAGTGGTGGGTGATTGTTTGCCCGAGTCATTCCGTTGCAGGTGTTTATTTTTGTTGTATTTATCTGCTTTTTTATTTTCTTTGCTTTAAAGGCCGAGGACAAAGGGGATTTTCTATTTGAGTTTCAGCAATGCCCACTCCACATCTCTCTTTGTACAAAAACTACGAAGCCACAGATTTTTTTTAAGGAAAAGGAATTAAAAATAAAAAGAAACCCTAAGCTTCATTCTTGACGAAGGAAACGGACGAAACCTATAATTTGCAAATGTGTTCTTTTGCAGAGAAGTTCTTTGTTGGTATAGTTCTTCATGAAGCAGGCTCTCAGAAACAAGAGGATTATCATCCTCTCCTTCCTTTCTATATCCGTTCTTGTCCCGATTCACTGCTTCTTTTGGTATTAGTGTTTAAAGATTCATAGTTTTTGTTTCCCTTCTTTTTTCTTTTAATTTTATTTTTTTTCCTACTGTTTTCATCGTTCTGTTTTTGCAGCACACAGGGGATTTGGGTCCAGCAGCTCTCTCTCTTTCTCTCTCTCTGTATTTTGGGTTTGTTTCAACTGATTACTCGTTACTTCATATATTTAACTAGTTAGTGGGATTGGGATTGTATTGTACTTCAGGAAACAGGTGAAGGCTTGAAAGAGCCGACATTAGTTGTGTACAAAGATGGGGATTTTAATTCTGTAGATAGAAGGAACTCTTCTGGTGAGTCCAAGAATAGTGGTTGGACCAGTGTTTTCCATTCTTAATTGATGAGTCCGAATAGGGTATAATTATATCTAATTAGCTTAGTGGCTGAATCAATTCCAGATCGAGAGGATCCTGTATTCGCAATCAAAGTGCTTGTTCCAGTACAAAGTTGATCTCGTGGTTAACGTTGGTATTATCTTTTTTCTTCTTTTATTTATCTCCAAAAAATTAAAGAGCTTGGAGCTTTTCCTTTAGTCATATTTCCTTTCTACTGGAAAGCACATGGTTAGATGTAGATTTCACATTGGTTGAGAGGGAAAGTCTTTGCCTTGATTTGGGCATGTGCGGAAGTGTGATTGGCAAATAAAACGACAAAATCACTAACAAATTATAAAATTTGGATGGCTCATTTTACAAAATTTTGCCACCTTATCAATAACAAATTATCAATAACATTTCGGTGTTTTTACACTATTATTTGTATTGTTCTTTTCCACTATTTCCACATGAGCTAAACAGTTTTGCATTCATTATTTTCTAAATAATGCATTTGGGTGAGTCAAAGTTTTAGTATTTTGTTCAATATTAGTTAACCATTCATCTAGCTTTACATAGTGGAGATCCTGATAGGTAAATACTTGTACATGGTTAGCATGATGCTTGCTTTATACCACCCTGGATAAATGCATGGCTACTTTCAGAGCCTACTTTTTTACATGAATACTTCTGAGAACCTACCCCCTCCCTCAGCTTTATTTCTTATATCCATTCAAAATTAACTAACCTCCACCCCATCACTTTGCCAACCACCAACCAGATTTCAAGGCAATACTAAAAATACAAATAGCATATTAACAGCTTTATTTCTTATATTCATACAAACTACTAGAAACAGGGGAGGGGCTAGATGGGTAAATACAAAACAAAGTCTTCACTACTTCAAAGTTTCCTTTTTGATCAATTATAGCTGGTTGATCCTTTGTTGGATTTATTGTGCAAAACATTTGGTTTTGTTGATTTAATTATATTAATTAATGTTTGAGTTATATATTTAAGCATTAGTTTGATTTGTTACTTTTAATTATAAACATCCACTACTGAAATTTAAGAAAATGGTTGTCCTATTTCAAAGCAAATTAGACAAAATTTAACCCACATTCTAGAATGGTTATTGGAAATCATATTACCTCCTATTCTATTACATTAGATTACATAGATACTATCATTGGCATTAGTTTATTTTTTAATTTTTTATTAAAATTTTTATATGGTATGATAATGAATAACCAAAATATTGAATAATTCCATTCCCATCCCTGGTGGAATGACATTCTCCATTTGAGGGAATGGCCATTCCCTCTCCCTCTGGAACAAGATTTCATTCCAGCTGATTTCAATTCTGATTCTGATTCCTGTTTGAACCTAATAGGTTATGGGAATAGACCAGTCCAATTATGAACCAAATGGACCCTAAAGTCTGACGAAAGAATACAAGCAGAAGTAGGTACTTCCTTTCATTGGAGTTGGGATGAATATAAATCTTTTTGTGCATGTGCATATCTTGGTGTTCTTGGGGGAGGGGGTTCTAAGAAAAAAGGAAATTAAAGGAGATGGATACCTATTTTTCACATTAGATGGATTTTAAATTTCCTCAACAAAGATAGAGCATGCAACCTCACAACATGGATCATTCCTTGTTTCAAACGGAAAGTGAGAGCCCAAGGTAGTAAAGTTGAAAAGATTAAAGGAAGAAAAAGGAAAAAAAGGTAATAGAGGTTGTACTACTACAATAAAAAAAAAATAGAAAAAAAGAAGTAACCTTAGCAGACTAATTGATTATATTATCTCCTTATGTTATTGATGGCATGTTCAATGCATAATAAATCCTAAAATTGAATAATTATCATGAGTGGCTTGAGTAGTTTAATGTTGGAAAATGTAAAATTTACCTTTGAAAAATAAAGTCCAAACCTCTCTAATTATAAAGTTCTTTAAGCCATCTCTAATTATAATTAACTGTAATTATCAGAAGTATTAATTTTGTTTCTTATCATATGATAGAATCTTTATATCTTGTTTCCTTGTTGATATACTACATGTTGGAGTGTTTAAGTACACTAATCAGATTTTACATAACTTGTCAAATATCTATTTAGATAATCAACCAATTTATAGTTTACCACTGATTACCATTTGACCTCTATTTGTTTCTTATTTTTGCATGTATTACTACTTTTTAGGTATTCATTTAGGTTTAACTTTTTTTAATATTTTATTTCTATTTTCTTCTACTATTTTATGATTATAATCTATTGTTTAATAATATTATTTGTTATTTTTGTTAATAGGTATCATAGAGAATAATGTGGACAGTATCATGTTCTTATGATTGTTGCAGGCTTTTTGTTTATGAAGTGAAAAGTAGGACTGCTATGGACCTATAGTAGCGGCCAGATTCCATTTTGCTAGCTAATTGAAGCCACTATAAAWAAATAATTGAGAATTTTTTAATTTCCACGGTTCTGAATTAGGATCTCTTATTTTTTCAATTGGTAATGGCCACTGTGGCTTTAATTCATAGTGAAACTTTTGGCTCTACTACTTTAGGTTCTGATGCTTTAACCATTGTTTTAGTTCATTCAGTGAAAGAAATGCTTCACCAAAATGTCGAGACTTTGTAAAACTTCACAAAATAGGTTTTGTGAGGTCCACCAAAAGGAGTACATAGTAAATTCCCATTCCCCATAAAGTTAGTAATGGACCTCTTTCATCCCTAAAGAATTCAACAATTGAATGAGTGTGGAATTTTTCTTGACTAAAATGCCCACATTTGTTATTTAGTCCACCTCTAATTATGAAGGTTGAAAATGTAATTTCAATTAATGCTTTTCACCTTATTTAATCCCCTCTCATTAACTCTTGTATTTAAGGTATTAGCTCCCATTCTCTCTTGTTAAATCCCATATTTAAGTTATATTTTCATTAATAAATGCCACTAATTAGATCTATATCCAATACTTTTAATAATATAAACCCATATATTTTAAAACTTACTCAAAAACAAAGCCATTCTTTATCCAAGTGATGACTAAGCAATTCAACTATCCGAATCAAATTAGTCAACCCATGAAATCATAGTTAAATAATAAAATTTTAAATAGAAATAAATGTACACAAAAATACACATTTATGATATTTTTTTATCAATCAAATTAAAAAACAAGTGTAATAAACAAGAATTATTTTTATTGATGATGAAAATGAAATGCATAATCTAAAACTAACCAAAAATGAAATTATTTTTCTGTTTAGCGGAGATCAATAGTTCAACTTTTGGGTCAAATTTGTCAACCTTTAATGTCATAATTAAATAATAAAAATTAACAAAATATAAAAGAAACACATAAATTTTACAAAAAAATATTTGAGCACATGTATAATATCCTACATTTATCATATTAAGCAAAAAATAAGTGTAAATAACAATATTATTTTTACACACATAGAAATAAAAAAAATTATAGAAAAAACGAACACATCTATAATTCCATATTTACACTACTATTAGAAATATGAATAAGATTGTGGAACTTTCCTTTGACTAAAATACCCATTTTTTGAATTTAATCCCTATTTAATTGTGAGGTTTAAAATGTAGGTTTTTTTTTATGAGTAATAGTGCAATTTTATTAAAACAGACACTGATTTAGGATTACAATCTCATGCAAGATCCCATAGAGAGGCGCGAGCTGCAGCCCCTCCTACCAAATACAAAGAAGTTAGGAAACAATTAATGGAATCACAATTGAGCCCAAAACAATTCTTCCCTATTTGCCCCTTGCTTGGCTAACCTGTCGGCCAAAGTGTTTGCAGATCTCCCCACCCACTAAATAGAGACTGACATCGGGTTTACTTAACCTGATGTCATCAGRTTTACATAACCAGTGCACCACCACCTTTGTGTCCCCCTCAATAATTAGTTGTTGTACCCCCATTTGGTTTGCAAGCTGCACCCCTTGTACCGCAGTTGGCATTTCTGCCCTGACAGCATTACCAAATCCCAAAGGACCCAAGTACAACGGAACAACCTCCCCCATTCCAGAGGGCCCTGGATTGCCTAAGCTGTTGCCGTCGAAATTTTAGGGAGCCTTCAGTTGGAGGACACCACCTTGGGACTACCTTGTTCTTGATGGAAGAGCACCTTGCTATTGCCAACCAGTTTCTCCAAAAGGCATTAAAGGAGAACTGATGGAATAGGTCCAAAGTCTTCAACCATTGTATTGTCCTATTCAATACACAGTTTTTTTGTTGTTGGTTATTTCTTTCCTTCTCTTGAAATATTCTATCATTTCTTTCTTCCCATATTGTCCAAACCAAGGCTGCTCTCGCACATCTCCACATTGATCTTCCTCTTTTTATAGGCCAACTGAAGGTAGATTGGTCAAAGATCAATCGTATTTCTGCTTGTGAGCTCCAAATACATAGAGAAGCCAAACCCACAATTCTATAGAGAGTGGACATGAAACGAATAGATGGTAACAGTCCTCCCCGTGAGCTCTACAGAGGGTACACCAGTTGGGAGAAATACAAAGGAAGGGTCTTCTCTTTTGTAGGTTTTCTAAAGTGTTTACTTTCCCATAGTACACTTCCCAGCAGAAGGCCATAACCTTTAGGGGAATTGGCCTAAACCAAATTTCCTTCAAGGGAAAGACCTATTGAGTAAGAGGTTGGGAGAAATACAAAGGAAGGGTCTTCTCTTTTGTAGGTTTTTTAAAGTGTTTACTTTCCCATAGTACACTTCCTAGCAGAAGGCCATAACCTTTAGGGGAATTGGCCTAAACCAAATTTCCTTAAAGGGAAAGACCTGTTGAGTAAGAGGCTGGGACAAGGACTTAAAGAAAGAGGCACAAGTAAACATCCCTTTAGGACTGGGGACCCACACCCTTTTGTCTGGTTTCGAGGGATCTAGATAAATTTGATTTAGTAAGGCCAAGCAAAAGAGATAACGAAACAGTTTCAGCATACCTTGATACACCTGCGTCCAACCTGTCCTCTAAGGTGCCATGAATACACCCCACCACTTGATGCCAAACCCTCCCTCTCTCCAAGGGCCAACGCCAAAGCCACTTCCCCAATAATGCTTGATTTTTTTGAACGACCATCCCTAACCCCAAACCCCCTTTTTACTTCTACACACAATTTCCCACTTAATCAAATGATCATTTTTTCCTTGTCCTGGTTCCCAAAGGAAGTTTATCATTAATTTCTCTAGTTTCTTGGCTTCCCTAGGCGGAATTCTAAAGACAAACAAAAAGTAAGTAGGTAGATTTGCTAATGTGGCTTTTATTAATGTGATCCTGCCACCCAGAGAAATGTTATTCTTCTTCCATGAGGCTATCTCTTCTCAAACTTCTCTGCTACTGGGGTCCAGAATCTGCTCTCCCTAGGGTTTGCCCCTAAAGGAAGCCCTAGATAGGACAAAGGCCAGGATGAGATAGAACAGTCAAGACACCCCGCAATAGCCTCCATCTCACTGTCCTCCAAATTAATGCCCGCTATGTAGCTTTTTTTCAAATTTATTTTCAGATTGGAAATTCTTTCAAAGCCTTTTATTAACTCCTTCAGATTTGAAACCTTCTCACTAAATCCCCCTCGCAAAAGATCATTAAATCATTCGCAAAAGTCGTATTATGGACAATCAACAATTTGGGAAGAAAGAATCTCTCGAGTATTTTCAAAGAAAACCCAACCAAAGGAGGCATTGATTGGGTGATAAAAAATAAGGCTAATTCATTGGATCAACACTTTGGAGGAATTCTCTTGTTTCACGGTAGATGACATCTTAAGAGAATGGACTGTGACAGCATCATTATCTTCAAGGATGGACAGAAACAACATTACATGGATACCCCTGCCATAAGAAAGGATAAAAATTATTATTGATGAATGTAATCTTGGGAATCCACGTGAATCAGGTATAGGTGGTGCATTCAAAGATCACAGGAAAGATGTTGTGACGGTATATTTAGGGCCAGTAAGTAGGGGAAACTCAATAGGAGCAGAATTGCTTGCTCCACTGCAAGGACTTAACTGGTTAGGACATTAGGCCTTCAAAACTTGATTATAGAAGGCACCTAAATCATCACATCAAGGAAGAAAAACTGTTGGCTAGTTGCATAGCAATGGAAGATTATTGAATACCCCAATCTGCAAACTCTCTTGCAGATTCACTAGTTTGAGAGGGAGAAAACAGACAGACCTTGAGTTAAGGAAGATATCCTTTGAAACAATACATGTGTTGGTTTCAATTTGATCCTTTGAGCTGAGGGGTGAGCAACAATAAGCTGGATCTTCTGAAAGGAAAATCTCAGACTATAAATTACCCCAATCATTATGATTGAATGCTTCTTTTTTTTTTATAAATATCATTATGATTGAATGTTATATGCTTCTTAGAGATTATAGCTGCATTATAACATTTAAAACTTCATTTCTTGTGTTTTTCTCCATGGCAGTTTTTTTTTTCTATGGTAAAGGGTTTGGAAGCAATGTCTTGGCTTAAAAAAAATCCAAACTCATTAATCACCCCATTAAGAACTTTAGCATTATATCTATTTATAATGTGAGTGTAGCATCCTTTGTCTGTTTCTTTCACTTATGTGGTTGATATTTCCTGAGGTTCCTTATGTTTTATCTTCATGTCCACTTTGTGCATAAATTGATGTTTTTCGGTTGAAGAATTTGTTTATGGTGTTCATAATTAGTTATATGTTGACTACTACAAATGATAAAATGATTTTTCCGGCCTCTCAATTTACAAACTTATCTCATTTCAATTTGTATTTTGTCTAGTCTGCTGACTCTGCTCTACTGTTCAGGTACTGTCAACAATGTTTCTTGCTGTTAAACAGTCCAACTCAAATCCTCAGACATCAATGAATGCACAAGCTTCCGTATCTAGGATCATGCACTATTGTTAACATCACCACTGGGCAAATATATGTAAATGGACAGATGAAAATATTGATACAGGAATTGTTGCTGTATCTCTGATTCCTTGCAGTGATGTACTGAATGCTTCATACTTCAGTCTTGCATGTGGAAGCAAATCAATGAACTTCACCACTGGGCAAATATATGTAAATGGACAGATGAAAATATTGATACAGGAGTTGTTGCTTTATCTCTGATTCCTTGCAGTGATGTACTGAATGCTTCATACTTAAGTCTCAGAGCATGCTTGTGCCCCCAGTCCCTTGCTTATTCCTAGTTTTAAGCTATCTGGGGTCTAGGGGACGTGTAGACCGGATATGGTCCTAAGGCCTAACCTTTGGCCTTTTCTTGCACAAAGTTGCTAGTCTCAGATTTGAATCTGTGTTCTCATGCTTATCAGCCTGAGATTTCACCATTGCACCAACGAACGGCCCCAAGTTATATGTTAAAGGTGAAAGAAAGTGAATCCATAGCAAACATTGTATTTGCAATTATATTAATTATTCATTTATCTCATGCTTGTGTGAATAGTCATTATTCATTTTGTCCCATTAGGATCCTTCTTGTATAGTTGCATTTTCAAGAGTTGAATATTTTCTGAAATTATTTCCTTAACCAATTAAGGGGTTCTTTGGCAAATTGGAAATTTTCTTTGCTTTTTGGTCCATGTTGCATCCGCAAAAACAGGAAGCTCATTTGATTTTCTGGTTTCTAAAAAGCAAAGGGATTTTTCAAGACACCCCCCCTTTCAAAACTGACAAACTTGCTTGACACCTCAGAATTGGTTACTATTACAACTTAATCATTGCTGACTATAAAATGATATTCTTGCTATGATTTTAAATGTTCTATTCTTGGCAAAGCCTGATATGAAGCTGAGAACCTTTTTAACATGATCTTATTTGCTCAAGATACCATTCTTTTATGTTCTTCAAGGCTTTAACATTATCTATTGTGTTACTATTTTGTTGGGTTTCCACCTACTAAACCTCAGTAGTTTTTCTTTAGTTTATATTATCTGATTGAAGAATGGCATTTGATTCCTCGGTTTCCTTAGGTGATACATCTTTTGGTATAATGTGCTGAAGGTGGTCTATTATTTTTCTATTTTTCTTCTTTGCTAAGGTGTCATCTTTGTTGTCAAGAAAATTGCAGGTACCATTGATACAATCTTATTGATGTGCAGTGAGTCAAGGTGTTAGCCTACAGCTAAGCATTTTAGCCTTTCAAGGCAAGTTATGTCCTAGGCTATGACATGACAAGGCGTCATTGATACAATCTTAAGCAACTAGAATGAAAATGCGTCTGTCAATTTTCAGAAAAAGATATATAGATGTTGAGCTGAACACTTTCATTTTGATTGATGAGCTAAACACTTCTTTTTTGGTTTTTGGTGAAAATAACTACTTAATTGCTTCGTCGTTTGTGGATAAAATAAAGTCATCCTTTTTCTTTTCTTTTCTTTTTTTTTTTTTTTTGTATTCATTGCTATGCACCATTAATAACACCAACGAGCCAGCCCTTCGGTGGTGCCATTATCCTATCTTGGTCCCTGATATCTGGGATCTTGGGAGGGGTAATCTGGATACAGTCGTAACCTTTGTCATTTTGTATGCACAAAGTACCGGCTGAAATAATAAGATATTCAAGGGTATGGCAATCAACCCAATTTCAACTTTAGCCGGTAAGGAGATCAAAAACTTCTCAATAACATACTCGGTAAAAGACAAAAGCAATAAGCCACTCAATTCCGCCAAGACTGCTTGGTTTTGTTGGTTTTGTTGGTTTTGTTGGTTTTGCAGTTGATGATGATGGCTGAAGTTAAATAATATTCAATATTATGAGTATGAGTGGGTGGTATATCAAAATCAAAGGATTTCTGCTTAATATGCCCAGGATCAGCATGGAGAGTGTGATTCCTATTCCTAAAGCCATTCAGCATGCAATAATACAGTGTGTATGCATTATAAGAAATACAAAAATTAATATCAATTCTGCAGATTATCACCCCAATGATTTCTAACATTGGAGTGGTCCAATATATCCTTCCATTCTGCACTATTCAACTTCCCATCTCCCAGAAAACTGAAACCGGGGTAAATCTCCATGGTATCTTTCCTTCAAATCTAAGTTTTGGTTAATGTGTAATTAGTTAAACGTTTCTGATGTCGATGAAACAAAGGGCTTTCATTATGATGTCAAGGGGTGTGAATGCGAAACTGACTCCTAAGGCTCAGCTTGGAAAGAGTTGTACAGTGCAAATATATACAAAATAATATAAAACAAAAGGTTTTACACTACATTTTTGCATTTGTACTTCCAAACTGAGCCTAAGTAACTGATTTTACTTGATTACTACTTCACATACCAAATTTCCAACGTTGTGGAGTTCATGGACATGCTGTGTATGTGCACAAACTTGTATGTCGCTAGGTGCATATTTTTTGTGGTTGATTCTGCACCAGTTGGGCTGGTAGAAGCCTGAATAAGCACCAATTTATACTATATTTTGTTATAAATACACTGCATTTTGTCATAAACCTGAACATTGGCCACAAACTAAGTACCTACTGTGTTGGAGTATATGCTATTTGAACGAGTAGCTATCAGTACCACTGATTTGCAGCAGTATATATAGAATCCTAGGCATCGACCTATCCTTCTGGCATTCTCTTTAGCAACATAGATCTTTTACTGCACCTGCACGGGAGTTAGATAGGATGAAGCTTGACCCAAAAGATCACATTGCAAATGGTAAAAAAGTGGAAGGCAATGTTCAGAAACCTGCATAGCATTCTGTACATGAGCTTTTTTTTTTCTTTTTTTTTGGTATTAAAATGAGCTTTTTGATGGTAGCCAAACATGGAACCATAGTGCAAAGTCTTCCTGATCGGACTGGCTACCAGAAATCAGAAATTCAATCAAGTTTTGTAGGTATAATTAATGAATTCCTCGACTTTGAGTATTTGTTTATCTATGTGTTCAAACATGCTGAAATTTCACTCATAATCACTGATGGTAATGAAAATGTTGTTAAACTTCACTTCTTGCCAATGCTCCATTAAAATCTGTAGTAATAAAGAGGCTGAAATAAGTATAATATGCATCGGTTGCTTGGTTTGTTTCATTTATTATGTTCTCTTTATTATGGTATTAATTTGTTAATAGCATCATTCTGTTAATTTTCTTAGTAACGGTTCTGTTGATATTGTTCTTGTTAATTCTCCCATTATGCCTCATATCATTGATATGTGAATTATGGAAAACTGTCTTATTGTGCAAATTAGTCTCTCATTGTTATTTAGCGAGAAGAATCTTTACTAATAGCATCTTATCCTATCTTATTTGTCTTATCAGCCGAACTTTGGTTTTCAGTCATAAAAATATTTGATGGGTTTTGCCAATGATTGTCTGTGAATTGTTTATACAACTCAACAAGTCAAGAAATTCTTATCTTCCAGTCTGCTTGTGCAAAGTATTAGTAAAATAATTTTAAAAGACATTACCATTGTGCCTTGTTTGCTTTGGTCTGACAAACTGAATTGATAAAACAATATGTATTAAATTAATGTTTGTTCACACTTCACACCAACAAACTGAAGATTTGTATCTGCGCATCGGATATAAAAACTAGCTATGAATTTAATAATTTGAGGCTTTATTTACATGAGAATTCAGGAGCTGAATTCTTGTGGGATGATTAATCTATTATTAGTTCATTGGTTCTCACTCAGCCAGTCCTCACCCCACCCAAAATGGTGGGACTCCTTGTGGATTATTGTGCACATGAGGTTGCACCAAACTAAATTTAAGTCATCCTGGCTGTAGTCAGACTAATCATCCCAAGTGTTGCATTTGGATACAAGGAAGCTTCATTATTTCATCTGAATTTTGGACAAGACCGGTCAATATCCTCATGTTTAGTTAGAACTAGCAGTTAAAATGAATGAGTCATCTGGGCACCGAAAAGCGTGCATGTGTAGTTAATCTTGCCATGGCGTTGGAAATCAACGACTGTGCACCKTTGACATAAGGAGCTCTTATCCCTGGGGGACCAAGAGGAAGCTGCAATAATGGCTTCTCAGACCAACCAATATTGAAAGCATTTCTGTTCTCTGTGTATTTTTCAGGGTTAGGCGTAAGTCTGTACTTTGTGAGAATGGAAATACGATGGTTGGAAAGCCAACAGTCTGAAAGCTTGAGCTTGTTACGGTGAGACAGATTGATCTATTCAATTGGGTAAACAAGAAACCGATCCCTCCCCGTAGTCTGTAGTCTGTAGTCTGTAGAGGCGTTGAAAAACATATCAGTAATTTGGTAAGAAGAAAGAAAAAAAAAAAGCAGAAACTAGAGACTAGACTCTCTCTGCTCTGGCGATGAAAAGCAAACCAAGCTTGGCTTGGGGGACCGCTTTCGAATGCGATTTGTTTAATAATTTACGCACAGCTATCTATATCTGTATCTCACTGAAATTATATAAATTTAATATGATTTTGCATGCGTCTGCAGTTCCCGATGAAGGGAGAGGTGGTGAAGTTTCTTCTATTGATGTCAATATTTAATTGGCTGTATGGTTGTTTTTCAAAATAGTAAAGGAGCAAGAGAAGATAAGGTGATGCTCTCGTGATAATTAAGTTCAAAGTAAAAAAAAATACACCCACCAAAACAGCAGGATCCCATCTTCTTTCTTTTGTATTCATGTATTCTTTTTATCCAATCCCACCTCTTCTTGCAGAGAACATGTCCCTTTATGCATGCCTTCTTGATAGAGAAATTTATTTATTAAAATAATTATTAGAGTGAAGAGAGAGAGAGAGAGAGGTTCCTCATCAATCTTTGAGCTGTTCTCAAATCAGGGGGTAGTATGGTTCATGTATTATTTTAGATTGTAGGTGCAGGAAAAAAAAAAGCAGCAAAGCTCAACATCAGATTCCCTCTCCCCTCTCGCTTTCATTCTTCCCCTCTGTGTTGTGTCACAAATCACAACCCATCTCTGTATGTGTGAGAGATACAAACAACCATGGAGTCTACGTCTCAAACACCATTGATCAGGATCATAAAATCCCATCACAAGCTGTCGAAAACCAATATGTGCAGTTGTGCAGCTTTATATCCATCCTATCACGCCCAACTAAAACCAAAACCAACTGGGTCTGGGTTACAAAAACTGTTCATGTATTCTGTAACTCTATAAACACACTAGAATATCAAATAACAAATGAGTTGATTTGATTGCATCTTCTTCATTGACTCATGGCCGGAGGCCTGTAAATGTGATGGAGCCAAAAGATATATAGTATAGTGATTATTAAGCTCTCGCTGTAACTACTTGTAGCTGAGTGCCAGGTTCAGGCTCTAAACCTAGCCTAGCTATAAGCAAGGCCGTCTGTCTGTACAAAGCGCGTGTACGGGTGGGTCCAAACACCACCTAATTCCAAAGGGTCGTGGCGCACTGGCAACAGTGTTGGTGAATGGTGATCTAAAGGGACCCATGCTCTCATTGGAGGCATCATTTTGGTGATAGGATCTTGATGGGTAGATCCGTGCTGACGACCCTCGTTTTTGGCCGCTCTCTAGCCTCTTCCAATGCTATTAGAAACGTGCCTCGGAATCTCTGAACCAACAAAATCACTGCCCCCACCCATCTTTGAAACTTTGAATAGCTTTTATTTGGCACGAACCATCCAAATCTAAGTGGCCCTTTGTTTAACTTTAACTACTCTAAGTCGATGTTCTTCAGGGCCATTTGATGCAGCAACAAATGAGATAATGGGCCATGATCATCTCATCTCTTTGTTTCTGTGGGCCTGTGGATTTTGCATTTTCACATGGGGGCTTCTTTTCTTATATGCATTGCACTCGTGCTATACACACAGATTTACGAGACTACAGAGTCTATAAGTCATGGGCCGGTGGTCGTAGTATTGCGCTTATAGACTCTACCTCTTGGATAGGCCCAGTGAAAACCCTAATTGTCATCTTATTGTCGTTTTCTCAATGACCCCTTTTCACATTCTAAGGGGTACCCTTCTGCACCTTACTTGGAAAGTTTGATCATCTTCCTGCAAAATGTACTATAGAAAGCACGTGCTAAGCAGGGTCCACCACATGGTGATGGTGAAAGTGTGAAACATTCAAAGAGAAATTATAACTAAAATCAGTATACAAGCGGGCTTTGTATATTATGGTTTAGAGCAGATCCGAGCCCAATTCCCCATGTTTACTGATTCCTCCGTTTGGCTTCAAATCAAAACCAAAATTGACACCGAGCAATATCTGAAAAGTGAAAAACTATTTATTCCAATTTGCTAAGTTTTCTACCAATTCCAAATTCCTTGAGATAGTCGCTTGAATAGTTGAATTTGCGTTACGACTTTAAAACTCATGTAGAGTGAAACTAAACAGGCAAAGAACTTCACCCAAAAAATAAAAAAGAGTAGACAAGAAAAGAAGATTTTTGGTGAGTTCGTATTGCCATAAAGTACTGCTCCATATGTCAGACCCTCATCCATCCCGAGAAGCGTCCTCCGGCAATGAGAGGAGGTACAGCTGCAGTTGCAGAATGCAGGATCATCGGAGTAGCATTAATACAGTGGCTGTCCTCTCACTACACATTGACACATGTGAATCTCGGATATGTTATCGCCGGATTCCGTTACTGGACCCCCACCCTACCCTTCCGCGTTCCGGCTAATATATGTACAGTTCGCTGTCACAGTGCACTTGGAATCCTCGACGGAAACTGTAGGATACTGGGCCAATCATGATACGGCACATCACCCTGACATGTGGGATTCACGTGTACGGAGCTGACACGGCACATCATGATTGGACCAATATTATAACTCGTACGGTGAAGCTGTCAAGTACCTAGATTGGAGGTTGTCCTTCTGACATATGTCATGTGACTGTGGGGTTTAGGGGGTTAAGTAACCTTTGAAGGAGCGATGAGCTGCTGCTTTGATGGAATTTGGAACCCTCTCTCTCTCTCTCTCATAGTCTCATTGGCTGCTGCAACAATGAAATTCTGGGCCTCCTCTATTTCTTGAGCCATTACACTCAATTCTAGGGGAACTCTTAAAAAAGGCCTTCAGTCCTTTCAGTTCTATATATTTGGGTTTCTCACTCTAGGAAATTGTCGGAAAGTATTTTAAGCCATTTTTTTATGGGATTTTCCTTAAGAACTTTCCCACAGATTTTCTCTTTGACATCTATTTTGGAAGGAACCAATTTTAACAGTGAATTCTAGATTTAAAGAGAAAACTTTCCAGGTCCGTTCAAAGCACAGAGGATGGATGATGGATGATACTTCCAATAATTGTTGAAATTACATGCTAACCACTTCATTACATCAGTGATCAGTACTCTTCAGTTGGTGGGCCACATCCATTGTAGCCCAGCCCCATGGTCCCCCCCCATTCATAAACTGGTTGAATTTAATTGATTAATTCCAGTATTGGTCAGCTTGTTGATTGATTTTGGAAGAACCGGTTCCCTATTGGACGGTTCAGATCAAAACTCTGGTGATTATCATCCCTGTAGACACCAATTATCTACTCTTTTATTTATTTACTTCAATCAATCTCTCTCTCTCTCTCTCTCTCTCTCTCTCAGCTGTAATTATTTCATAGTTTTGATAGCAATTGACTTCAGAACTAGAAAGAAGAAAAGCCCAGATACTTTCTTTGACATCAAAAGGGGTCGAAACAGTAAAAACAAGCATTTATGTATTTGAAATATAATATTCATTCCACCACTTGTTATATATAAATATATAGACTTACAACTGGAATGATAGTCGGTTCTCGATAATCTCAAGCTTCTCTCTGTTTTATTCCATCTTTCCTTCTCCTTACCCAATTCTTCTTTTCTCGTTTTTTCCCCTGCAATTGCTGAGATAGAACCTCCCGCGTTGCCTTGCCCGTCCCCGTCTTTCAGTTTCAGTTCTTCTTTTATCACCTCCTTTGGCTCTCACCGCCTTTACCTTTCTCCTATTTTGTTTTCTTTAATTGTTTTTCTCTGTTGCGGGTGCTATATATCTAAAGGGGTTGTGACAAGCCATGGATGTAGACCTGCTTAAGTCTGCAACAGAAGATCAGCTGGAGATGATGATGGCGATGATGCAGATGGAAAAGTTTCCTGAATTCTGCGGAAACTCTCCAGAATTAGCTGAATTGCCGTCGTCCATGGATTTATCTTGCGGTTCTGTTGGGACAAGCAGTGGAACCATCCCACCCACCTTCAGTAACCCACCGATTACTTCACATGCATTGTTGAACCCATCTGCCAGAGCATCACTTATGGGCAGTGGCGCCACCTTTCAAGAACCCATGGCTTCCACTCTCATATCCAATACTGCGACGGGAAGTTTAATAAACACTGGCGAACTACTGGGTGGTGCAGGTGCAAGTTCGCCCCAGAAGAGAAATTCAATGGAGGCAATGAGGGAGATGATCTTCCGGATTGCAGCGATGCAACCGATTCACATTGACCCAGAATCGATAAAGCCACCGAAGCGGAGGAACGTGAAGATATCAAAGGACCCACAGAGTGTGGCGGCAAGGCACAGGAGGGAACGGATTAGTGAGAGGATAAGGATCCTCCAGAGACTTGTTCCAGGAGGAACCAAGATGGATACGGCTTCTATGTTGGATGAAGCGATTCACTATGTGAAATTCTTGAAGACCCAAGTGCAATCTCTGGAACGAGCTGCCGCCAACAGACCCGCCGGTCTCAGGTTCCCAGCGGCGGTTTCTGATACCAATTACTTTCCCTTGGCCAAAGCCTACCAGCAGTCTGTTCCACTCTTCAGCCCTACCCAGATGCTTAGCTGAAGCTTTAGGAGCATGAATATAATTATAAGTTCAAATAGGAAAAAAAAAATAGACTACATTAATTCTCTACTCTCTAGTGATGTAGGTAGGGTGCCTTGCACAGAATGATCCTTCGATTTTCTTTAAACCTCTTATCTCCTCTTTAGTTCTGTTCTTGGTTCTATCGGTACAAATTACTACGGCCCACTGAATAATAAATCTGTTGACAAACCATCTGTGATTTACTCTCTCTCTCTCTCTCTCTCTCTCTGTACTACTTAGTACTTGGTGTTTTCAATGATGCTTGAATCATGATTTATTTTAACTGTTTTAATTTTTTTTGGTAAAATTTTTTAAGTGTTTTCAATGTTATAAGAGAAACGAAAAGAATTAATTAATAGCCATAGAATGCTGAAGAATGCATGGGAATTCCACGTGAGAATCAGAGTTGCGCTGCTCTTTATAGACATAGACATTGGTAAGATGAATGTTCGACCACTATTTTTTAATAAGCTCTTTCCTTTTTAATCAATTTTCTTTTATCTAATTACTAAAAGAATTGTCGGGATTCAAACCTTCCTAGTTTTCCCAGTGGGATGCATGAATTCCCACATTTTTCTTCAGTCAATATAATCTCTCATGGATAACTCTCCTTTAAAATATATATAAATATTGTTCCCATGGCCACACGCGCTGTGATTCTCTATTTAGAAACACGTGTCCCATTAACCGATAGGACTGGATCTAGTAGGTTAAATGATCACTTGATAAATATTTTGACAATTATCGAAAATGGGTTTTAATTTTTTTTTTAAGGATAGAACTGAGAAATAGGTGTTAAAAAATTTTGTAAGTGCTCATTGACCGTACTTACAACGTTGTGCCTACTTTATCCGAACTGATAACTGAGGGGTTTAATACTGTGGGATATATATCAAGATTCAGTCTCCGATTTATATTTCGTCGACCAATCCTTCCTAATTCACATCTTTGTTGAAAAAATTTCTTTTGTAATTCTTTACATAAGAACTCAGAAAATACCGGATCCCCGCCTACACAAGCAAATTGTTGATAATACATCGAAGACCAGCTTTGTAACAATTTCATGAATAGACAACGATTGAGTTGAGTGAGCATTTGGTAACCAAACAGAAGATTGGTTGGACCAAACTGCTCCATCCAACCAAAAGTTAAGGCATAAGCTCAGCAGAAAGCAGTAAATATCCATTGACACAGAGAGGTAGGAGGGACTCTGCCTTAAGAGTGAAGCTACTTCCTTCACAAAGCTGAAGTGCCCCAAACTCTCATTTGGGCCGGTTAACTCAATAGCAACATGGGTTGTTTAAACATGTTCCCAACAGCAGAGAACCCTCTATCGGATACTCAGTTAAGTACTCTATTGGTGGGTCAAGTGATTCAAATGGTTTGGCTGAGCCTTTGGTCCCTACTCCCCCCACACCCCACCCAAACCCTAACATATCTCTGCAGATATGCATTCAATTATAACAAGAACTTAGGTTGTACCTAACATGTTCTCAGTTTGTATTGGAAATTGAAAACTGGAAAACCCACTCACGCCCTTCCATAATAGGGTTATGGATTTTGAAGGGTTTTCTGCAATTGGGGAGTCCAAATTTTAGTTGGGTCTGAAATCTGAATTGGCCGTCCCTAAACCGTTCCGGTCCATAGCCACTACCCCATCTTGGAATCCAAGCTTAATTTGTGTTAGTGGTTCAAGTGAGAATGGATTAAGCTTGGTTTAAGACATGGGTATTGTACTACATACAAGAAACCAAGATCGAGTACAGCCCTGAGAACAATATCAAATGCTTGCTCACCAAACAGATCTAACAACGATATATAGCTTTTGGGGAAAGGCCAGAGAATTGGATTATTGTCTATTATTAAGGTTGTATGTAGTGGTTGCCTTCATTGAAACGATTACATCATAGTAGAAGTATTTGAGGAAGTTATTCAAATAGCAAGTGACTTGCATTTAATTGGTGGATGCCTCATGAGTCATGACCCACTTCCATGAAAATCTATTGACGAAACCAGAGTTGTGCAGCAACAGAGGAACCCAATGGGTAGAGTGTTCTGAACCAGCTCTGATACCATTAAATGGAATCATAGATAAACAAAATTGAATCGGTTATCTGTCTAATAAGAGCAAACCCCAATACGGAATTTAGGGAAATAATTAGAGAAATTATGTCYAGGGAATCAAGGTTAATTAGATTGCTAAGCTTGGGATCTTGCTTGTTGTAAGCAGCATATATAAGTGGTGTAATGAGAAGCATTTGATCATGTGAGAAGAGATCTTGGGCTAGATTCTTGTTTGTACTACTTTATAAAAGAAACCATTTTGGAGTTCATTCACTGGAGTACAGCACGTGATATTGCAGAAAGCCAAGCTTTGATTTGCAGCTGCACTACCAACCCAACCACTTCCCAGTAAACACTTTTAAGGAGTTATTCGTTTATCCTTTCTCTTTAAGCACGTTTCTTGGATTAATAGGGTAAACATCTATGACCCACCATGGATCATGTCTCAGATATTGCTCACTTCCAATAGCTCACGTGACTGGATGAAAATAGACCCATTGTCTATTGTGTTTTAATTTATTCTCTCTTAGTTACATGCATCTCTTATTAAATATTGTTAAATTAATTAATTTGTGCTTAACCAAGGATTAGATATCCTGAAGTTAGTATAATTAATTAACTATTAACTAAGTCCATTTCGAGGGAGTTAACAGTTAAGTAGGTGGGCCCTTGAGACGGTCGACAGTATCTCCAAGGTGGGACTTGTTGTACTTGAGATAATGACATCTTACCAACGTAAAAAACCTACTAAATAAATTGAAAGAAAGTCTTGATTGTTTTAACTTTTAAATCCATCACCAAAGAAAAAAGAGAACAAGGAGAAGAGAAGAACAAAGACGGACGATGATGTCTCTACCATTCAATATTAATTTTTTTATTTAATGTTGATGGCCAAAAACATACCCTTGCGTCCGTTTGTATGGTGCCACCTGGCATTTAAGAAACGTTAAATCTGATTTGAAGGGTTCATGAAAACGTTGGAGACGGTGACGGTGAGGAACTAATGATGACGACTCGCTCATTATGTGATTTGATCGTTTTGTGGATTCAATTGGAAACTACTAGCTAAGAAATTAAAGTATGAAATCAGTCAATTCAATCTTATTACTCTTGATTGATGACAACACATTAACCCACTTCAGATTGCGGGGTTAGTCTTTCCTCTTTAGTGGGTTCCTTTTCCTTTCCTTTTTTTTTCTCTCTCTTCTGAACTTCTGATCCTTTTTTCCCCCTCTTGGGAATGCCCGACCCCAACCCCAACCCCAACCCCAACTAGGAAATTGTAATAGATAGGTATAGATGATATATATATATATATATATAGCTTTATTATTAATTTGATGAACAGAGCGTTTTAAGTTATAAAATGGGTTGATTCCAAAATCCAAGTTCTTCTTTTTGGCTGTGTACGTACGTGCATGACTTCAGACAATATTGGTCAATATTGGAGATGGGTAAGGCAAGACCGAATCGAATGATAAGGCTGTCATGCCTGAAGAACCGTGCATACATGCCTCACTAGAAGCCATTGAAATTCTTTCTCTCTCTGAGTCCAATGGGTTTAGAAGTGGGAAAGGAATGAAGAAAGAAGATGTGGTCAGAGGGTCAAAACTACAAAGGAGAAGTGAGTGAGGGCCATGTGCATCGTCCCACTAAGTACCAACATCCCATAAGAAGGTAGCCCTGTTTTAATAAGTGAGAGAAGGACTTAACTGCTTTTATCTTGTTTCATTCAGTGCATTGTATCCATTCGGGGTCTTGACAACATTCATTCCAGTTATCCATTTATCTATTATGATCTATCTACATCTTTATCTAATAAGGGGGCGGGGGGTGGTAAATGGTACGTTAATTCCTAGAAACGCAGACAGCCAACAAAAAAACCAAACAAGTCCACCAATAAAAGCCCTCTCCCATATTATTCATGGAAGATGTTCTCGATGTACGGTAGATGTGCATGTGAGGTGCTCCGGTGTGAGGAGCAGATCCTATTCCCAAACATACATGGTGTGGGGTCGCCAAAGCTGTACAGCAGATAAAGCAGGATATGAGCCAATTACATAAAAACAATTGCATGAGCTGGTTTGATTGGTAGCATTATATCTTGCTTGGAGAGACATGTGGAGAAATCTTAGAGCCCCGCTGCTTCTTATTCTTCTTCTCTCTCTCTCCATACTTGTCCTTTTGGCTAGGGGGGGCGTATTGGGCTTCAAAGCTGCAACCATCTCGGAGAGAATCCTCAAGGAAACCCCGTTCACAAGACTGTCTTTCAACAAGAGCTTTGTTGGAACGAAAGCGCCCTCATGGAAACAACTATCATCCATGTATATTTTGTCTTTAATTGCCACCTGTCGTGTCTATACAACATCAAGTCCACCATTGACTAGATCCCATCTAGCTAACACAGAGAGAGAAAGAGAGAAGGGGGGGGGGGGGGTCTGATCTCCCATGTTGAGCCTCTCAACTCTCCATATTGGACACGTGGCAATTGAACAGATTAGCTCACATAGCCATTGCAATGAGGGCAAACTTATCTTATCCAAGCCCTGGTAATAATTGAGGAAAAAACATTAGATGGTACCATCAGCACCACATTTATGGTGGTACATAGTCTGTATTACATGAACTGTACATGTTTCTGGTTAGATGAACTGTCCTATCAAATGGACCCCATTTATTTCACATATTTGACTAATAAATCTCTGTTTTGATTATCAGGTGCGTTTGGGTTTGGCACTTTCCACACGCTCCTCGGCTCTCGCATTCTTCGTTTTAGAAAGTTTCGACCTTGTTTGGTTATTTGGAAAAATAAATAAATTAGTAAATTACATTAAAAATAACCGGTTGGGGAGCTGGAGTTGGAACCCATCCAAACTGGTAACTATTTTCAGATACGGTTTACGCAGGGTGGAACGCATCCAAACACCGTTTCGTTTTGTACGGCCCAATGGGCTTCGAAAGACGTCGTCAAAGTCAATCCTAATAAAAGAAATCGTTGTGTGTAAAAATTCTTTCATGCCTCAACGAAAATCTCTTTCATTTGATTTTGTGGGCTTTCTCTTGCACCTAACACCTTTGTTCTTTTCAAAAAAGAAACAAAAGAAAGTTGAGGGAAAGTCCCCAATG